CCAATTTCCGACTGTGTCCTCCAGTTGTCGGTATCGTTCTCATGGAACCTTATAACGGCAGTACCATGTGGGACAGGTGGATATGTTTTACCGGTTACCTGGCCACGCCCCTAACTCTCCTATTTTTCTCATCTGGGTTTGGAGCTCGCAGTGGCAGGGTCAATTTCGAAGATTTGCAATTTGTTATATGGTTTCATTTGGTAATCATGAAAAGTCATTAAGTCAACAGCAGTTCGTCTGATGCCGCGTTAAGCTATTGGTTCGTCTTCTGTTTTGCGATGTCGTGAATGTCAGTGCAATTGACTGCTGAAGCCTTTGCGCTCCTTGTTCCTCGTCCCTTTCTCCACCGCTCATCATGCAAGTTCATGTCATGGTTCGACCGGGAAACTACGACGGCAAAAAGAACCTGACTCCACTTGTTAAAACATTGACCGTTCACTATGCCTGACATCGTTAGAGAAAGAAAGCAGTAAAATGGCGTTTCAAGGAGTAAGAAGATTATTAATCATTTTCATTTCATTGACAGCATTGTCACGCGTAACGACAACCTACAGAATTGAGGCAGATGAAGAGTAATCTTGAGAAGGAAATGATAACTTTTCAACTTTTATACATCGATTTATTGTTTTGCATTTTTCAGTTTTGTAACTTAAATCGCTGAATGCTCTTCGTGCCTTTCCGAAGACTTTCAGCAAGAAGTGTATCTGAACTGAATTCTAAATTATTCGACTGTCGTGACAAACACTTTACCTGCTAGGTGTTTTAAACTGGAGTAACAACACGGGGTTCATCGATAGTAGCGTCTGCACTATAGCAATGGAAGCCAGAGCATCGTTCACAATCAGTGTCTTTGGCGGAGCTAAAACATCAAATAAACTAATCAAATTCAGCTTATTGTAATTGGCCATTGCCACCCTTTACCTGATTCTCCGGAAACGTCAGACTCCATAGGGAACGCAAAAGCACACTGACCACCAAACGATATGAAACCACGGCTTACCGGCATGTCAGGAGGCCGTAAACCGAATGCCATCGAGAAGTCTTTGCTCAGCGATTGGTTCAGTCCCCAGCCAAAGAACAAGGACAAAAACAACCTTGAGATCTGCAGGCAAAACTTAAAGTTTTCGCTCAGCCTTGATATAACTTCTTTCCTGTCTTGAAATTAGCAATAATAAGTCAAAACTTTCAGTCAAGCGTCAAGACGAATTTTTAGTACAAAAATAACGAGAGTATTATGCAACCTTGATTTGAAACTTTATTTAACATTAGTTTAATTACACACCATGTTAGGCGAAACGCGTAACAGGGATTCACATCAAAACGGAGCGTGGCAAGTAGACAGCTGGCAATCCAATCTAGTCCGTGAAGTCTGCTCAATGGGTGAAGGAGAAAAACCAGCGGCAGACACTCCAAAGCCTTTGCTCTCGTAAAGAAATAGCGAGGTACAAAGGTATATGCATGAGTAACGCATATCTTCATATTGAACTTCGCAGAATCTAAACGGACCACCCTGTTGTAAATACCATAGACAGATTTATCGCTATTTAATTTAAGTGTGCAAGTAACAAAAACGTTTTACACTTTGCTTTGAATAAAAACTACTGTTATAACTCTGCAGAGTTGCATCATTTAATTCGTACCCTTCTGCCCTCTGCTGAAAGTAAGTTTTTAATGACCATATTCCCAAGTCTCTAGCCACATTTTAATCATAAAGAAACAAACTAGACTTAAATATCAAACCAAAAATCTAAATAAAACAGGCAAATAAAATATAATTTAAAACAATCAGACTGATAAACATATAATCGATTCGTGAGTGTTCCTCAATTAATGTTCTTTCGACGCACCGTTAGTCTGGACGGCATCCGCTGAACTGTTGCCTTCTGGACTTCTCAGCGAGCTGTGCCAAAACTGAGCCGTGAGAGATAGACTGAATAAATTTTAACGATCGATATGTTTCTAGTTTGATCCTCTATTTCTGCCGCTAGGTTCTCGCACGATACTCCATGGTTTCCAGCGTATGGTGCCAACCAGAAGTTATGACCGGCTGAAAGTTCTGAGCCTTTCTTAACGCGAACATTTGTTACACAGCGTCTTAAGTCAGAAAACACGATCATCGATCCCTGTGCACAAGGTTCCTTATACCAGCTATATTAATACACGCTTCAATGATCGAATAAGGTGTTCATAAGACAATTCGTTGTTTGCATAAAAGCGCAATAACTTGATGCCGTTATTGAAGAGATCACTAGAGTCGCTCA